TTCACTGAATGAAATAGGATGTGATGCAAATGGGTAAAAAGGGTTTTCTCTTTCCTATCTTTTATTTTCTTACTGTACACCAGCTGTAACATCCACTGATACTAGCCCACCTTTGTATTTATGATCCCCAGTTCCTTCAGTGACAGCAAAAAGGCAAAGTGGCTCTTCATGACCCCTCAATTTGTGATACAGAAAAAGGAGAGAGATGAGGAGTCAAGAATGGGATCAAGTCTGTTGCCTACAGGCACAATAAGTGGGCATAAAAACAAAATAAATTCCATATACCCTCCAGCGATGGGTAAATTGGGTATCTCACCAGAACACACAGACCTCAAGTCTTATCTCTGCATTTTCATACAGATCTTTCAATAGATAGTGTCTGCTAAACTTTTGCCAGGCCAAGTAAATTACTTCTTAGTGAGACAAGGCCACTTCATTAATTTTCCAAATAAAAATATCTTGCAGGTTTTAAGTAAGAATCACAAGCAGAGTACTAAAAAGTTTAACTACAAGATGTTCTTCTATGGTGTCATTTTCTTAAAATAGATCCCTCCTAAAATCTCCTAAAAATAAGTCTGCTATAGTTTCATTTCATTTTCTAAGAAGGAGATAAACATATCAAAACACACACTTAGCTTCTTTTGAGTCGCTCTGTTACATGGTGCTCACAGATCAAAGTCTAAAAGGGCCAATTTGTTCACTTCATAGGTCAGTGACACAGCTTTGAAAAAGAGGAAAAACAGTCCCCCTAGTGTACTGCTGCTGTAGAAAGAGGAAGTATATTAGCTGAGAATCACTGACGAAGACAGTATGCCAAAGGAAATTACAAAACAGCATTTTGGCAACATGGGCCAAGCAAACAGATTCTTCACACACGACCATAACCAGCCTTCTGGTGAGTTACTCTAAACGGTGACTGAGATCGAAATTACAAGCCAATGTAGAATTAAGACTTTGTTATTTTGAAATTTAAAAAAAAAAAATGTTTTTAAAAGTTGCACTTAACATTTTCATAATATAGTATTTGAAAAGGAACTGATGCATTAATCTAAAGAACAGGAACAGTGAGGACATAAATAAGCATTATGTGGCAGGTCAGCCCTCGTCTTTTTACCTGGGCAAGAAGCCATAATAGTACATATTCTCACATGGAAGAAGGCTCAGACTCTTAAAGAATTATCCTCTGTAGCAGTAGCAGCAGCAGCAGCAGCAGCAAAGTCTTAACATAGTATCCCACATCTGTGAATTGTGGGCACCACCACAGAAACTCAAGGTTGCCTATATGATCATGGCTTGACCCATGGGAAATACAAATGTGTGGGCCTATATTGAGAAATTAGTGGCAAATAGGCCTTACCAGGTAAACCCTGGAGTCCTTAGAGATATCCCCAAGACAAGAGGAACTGAGAAAATTCACTAGTTAATTTATGGGTGCAGAACAAGTAACCTTCATCTGAATTAAAGGAAATGTAACCTTTTCCCCTCTTAACCACATCTGATTATTCATTTCTACTTTAATGCCTGAGGTAAGGGAACCTGTAAGACAGCCATCAGCCTTCTCCCTGGCACAGTATGCATCTGACAAATGCAAGTTACCCAAGGGCTTCCTCCTTTTGTCAAAATGCAATTTTTCTTCCCTCTTTTATCACTTCATAGTTCCAAAGCCCCCATAATGACAGGACAGCTACCCAAACATGACACACTCATTTGGCCTCCACCAACATTCGCCTATCCTTCTGATGCTGGAATAATAACCAAAATGTTTGTAATTGAGAGGCAAGCATACTTTTCAGGAAAGCAACCTCTACTTATGTAAGACCCATTACTTAGTAAATGACCTTTAAAAAAAGATCAACTTAAAAAATAAAATAGAAAGGAAATAAGGAACAAAGACCTCTAGAACTGTGGCTACTAATTACCTCTGTAATAACTAGCTGTGTGATTTTAGAAAAGTCATTACCTTCTCTAAGAATCAGGTTCTTTGCCAATAAAATAAGAAGCTTGAAGTGACAAACAAACTTTACCCTGGCTATACATTAGAATCACCTAAGAAGCTTAAAAAAAAAAAAAAAAAATGCTAAGCCACACACCAGCCCAGTCAAATCAGATTCTTGAGGTATTTGTATATTTCAAAAGCTCTTAGGTAATTCTAAAACACAACCAGGGCTGAGAACCACTGGTCTAGATTCTGGTCTCCAAGGCCTCTTTTCTAAGTCTTTCATTTGGTGATGACACGGTGATAATTCTGGTTACAAGATCTCCTAATGCAATGGGCCAAATAACCACAAAAGTAAGGCCTAGACCGTGCATGCCGTGCCCTTTATGCACACATGACTAGGAGAAGTTAACCTGAATTCTAGACATTTTTAGAAGTTAAAAATCCTAATGCATAACTCAGAATGAAAGTAGTGTGGTTTAAATGCACAGGCATGCTTCCCAAATTACTAATCATGATAGGAATCAATTTCTAAACTTGGATGCATGGAAATGGGTCACAAGTAGCCCCTGACCTCTCCCTTTTCCCTCTTCTTCCACCCCCAATAAACCACAAGCACAAAAAATGTTGGCTATTACTCATAATGAGAATATGAAACCAGCCCCAGTTTCAAAGAGCCTTCTTCATCATCAAAGATTTGAAAGTTCCTGCATGGCTGCATCTTTTGATGAAGGTCATCTTACAAAAACTCTAAATTATACCCCTTTAGTCTTCAAGGATTAGCTGCCACATGACATTCAGAAATGGAATTGGTGAAAACAAGTAAAAATAATCATAAAATGTGTGCCCTGTCTTAAACATAATAAACCTTAATAATTTCAATTTACAGTATATTCTAAGATTTTAGTTAAAGAGAGATGAGATAACAGGGAAGGATAAAAGAAACCATGAGACATAAACATGATTATGACATAAAACCACAAAATTTATGACTAGGCCCAAAAATCTCTATTGCAAGTCCTGCAAACTACATGACAACATAACTAGCCCAATCTCAATTCATGGCTACTTTTGGTGCTACCACTTTCTCACGTAATCTTCCCCAAAAATCAAGTGTATTAAACTGTTACTATCTTTAAGCATAAACATAATAGCAAGAAATGTTATTTGTGGAATCAAATTGCTTTTGTAATCTTAAAAATCATGGGAAGGTGAAAACCCTTCCTATGTTAATTTTTAACTTAGTTAACAGATCCTCTGTACCAAATTCAGACATGCAGGACCAAATTTCAAGTGTGAGAAATTTGAAAAATATTTCAAATGCTCAAATCCATCTTCTCAGGTCCTGTACACTCACCCCTTCCTGACACTACACTGAGATTAACCCTTGCCATCCACTTGGAAATCTTTTTTTTTTTAAAGGTATCACATCAGTGCTGCTTTGACACAGAACTCTCTCATCCTTCCTGTGAAGAAACCTCATATACAACTGGCATTCCTTTGAAAAGCAATGTAAGATATGAATCAAATGTAAGATTCATAATGTCAGTATTTGTTAAAAGGAGATGAAACAGATTTGTAGAATAATATCAAGCACACATTTTGCTTTTAAAGTATTTAAATAAGGCCTCTCTAATACGAGCCATTAAGAAAAAACAATCAGGCAGTTTGCAAGATTTTTCTAACAACAAATTAAAACGTTCCTTACACTAAACTCTCTAGCTTTTTCATATACAGGCTCCTCTCCAGCGCTTCAATTGTCTAAGATTAAACTGTTCTTACTTTTACACCTACTGGAACCCAGGAAGACAGACAGCTCCCCAAATGGCAACGAAGGGGAAAGGGAGAAAGCAACTCCCTCTTTCATTAAAAAAAAAAAAAGGACAAATACAAAAATGAAAATGCAACTAAATTGCAAATACGAGCAGCTGATAAGCGATGTGTATCTCCAACTGCGCAGGACTCTCTTCTGCCTGGTACTGACACATTCCTATCTCGGGGGTAGGGGCGAGAGAGGTGCCTAGGAAGGGCAAAGCAGCTGGGTATCAGAAGCCCAGCAGGGGCAGGAGTTAATCTCTGGATACCCAACTGCAGGAAATCATTACATCATAGGCCTTTCCACACCTCTCTCTCTACCACGTGCCCGGTGCCCCAAGAGGCCCAAAAGGAAATGTAGTCTCTCTTCAGGTTCATTTACAGGTAGATGCCATTATGGACCAGCCCAGCCACCACAGCTCCCTCCCCACGACGTAGGTGGAGCGAACGCCCCGAATCCCCCACACCTGAACCCCCACTTTAAACAGTGCCAGAGTCCAGGCCTCAGCGGGAGCAGCTGGTAAGGTACGGCCAGTCCTTGTTGAGGTGGCCAGGCTGCCCCATTCGAGATCCCAGAACATTTCAGAAGCTACTCAAGGGCAGATATACTGGAAAGAAATCTCTGAGGAGCAAAGGTGTCAATACAGGTAAAGGAAAGAGAGCCAAGGGAAAAAAAAAAGGTTTTGCAACCAGCGCTTTTCCGAATGGGATCGATGTGCCTGTGGCATTTAACACCCACAAGCCAAAACTTGGACCCACGGGTTCCCATTAGGCTAGTGACAACGCATCATGCTCCCGCGACCGACTAGAAACCAGACATCCAACCCCTTCTCCGGGCACTGAGTCCCAAATATTTCCCTACACCCCTGCACTCCATCCATAGCGACCTCACGGGACCCCACCAGGGTGAACTCTGTTCCAAAGTTGGCCGCGGACCCACCTCCTCAGCGCTGTCCGGAGTATCCAGCAAATGCACTCCTGTCGGTCTGCCCTTCCTTCGCCAGCGTCCCTTGACCTCTCTCCTCACCTGCCCATGCCCCAGGCTTCCGTGGGAGCCGCCTCCTCCTACCCCCGTGGCCGTCCCCAGGTGCTCCTACTCTGGGGGTCAAAGAGAGCCCCCAAAGCCTCACTCGGAGGGTCCCCCTGCCAACCCCTCTCCCCGGGGCCCGCAGGCGGGCTCCAACGAATCCAAACCGCGCTGCGCAGGAGGCCCGGCGGGTCCGGCCGCCCGCCTGGGGTGGGTACGCACCTTCCAGCCGGCAGAGCTGTTGCTGTCGCCCTTATCCTTGAAGTAGGGCACGCAGCGCACCATCCACTCGTAGATCTGGGACAAAGTGAGCCGTTTGTCCGGGGAGCTCTCGATGGCGCGGGTGATCAGGTCGGCGTAGGACAGGTTCCCCCAGGCGTTCCTCCGCGACGAGCATTTCCTTGGCTGCCCAGAGCCCCCAGCCGCCCCCGGCTGCGGCGGTGGCAGTGGCTGCTGAGGCTGCAGCGGCGTCTGAGCTCCCCCGCTCAGCGCGCCTGCCGCGGGGGCTGGCCCGGACCCCGGGTCCTGCCCTCCGGGAGCCAGCAGCCGGGCCGAGTCCTCAAGGAGTAGCCCGGAGCCCAGCGTGCCGCTCCCGCCGCCGCCTATCGCCATGGCCGAGCCGGCCCGGCCCCCGCCGTCCTCGTCGTCTTCATCGTCCTCCTCCTCGGGGATCATGGAGTCCGCGGCCGTCTCCCCCGAGGGCTTGGCCGGGCTCGCCTGGAGTTCCGGCCTCTGCAGGGGCCACGTACAGGAGCGCGGCCGGCTCTGGGGCTCGAACTCCGGGTCCAGCTCCACTTCGAGAGGAGAGAGAGGAGCCGGGGAGGCCGGCGCCTCTGCCATCTTCTCCGCCCTCCCGCGGCTCGGGCTCGCGCGCTCTCCTCTAGCGCCGGGGCGGGGTGCGGCGGGGGAGGGCCGTGGGCGCCGCGAAGGCTCGGGCTCCCGGGCGCCGCCGCCGCCGCCTGGAGAAGCACGAGAGGAAAGAGAAGGAGAGTTGGTTATCCCGGGCCGGAGCCCAGTCCTCGGCGAGTGCTCGCCCGCCGCCGCTTCCCAGCCGCACCGCGCCCGCCTCCCAGGACCAGGCAGACCTGGAGACGTGCGTCCAGCGAACCTGGCGCAGCAGACGCCGCCCCCCGGCCAGGCCGCGGGGGAGACGCGAGCGAATCGACGGCCTCGCACGGGGCAGCCCCCTCCCCCCGCCGCGCGCGAGCCGCAGGTCTCTCCTGGGCTAGGTGCGGGGCGGGGAAGAAGGGGGAGGGGCGGGCCGCGCCTTTAAAGCGGGCAGCGGCCGGAGCTGGCAGCCCCGCCGCGGTCGCAGCCCGAGCCCGAGCCCGAGCCCGGGCGGGCGTGCGTGCGTTTGTTTATGTTTCGCTCCAGCCCGCTCTAGTGCCTCCCGCGGTGCCGCCGCCAAAGTCTGTGGCGTCTTCAGCTCTTTTCCCTTTCCCCGGCCCTGCCGCCTCCGCGACCCCCTGCTACCCCCACCCAGCCGAGTGGCCAGAGCCCGCGGACAGCGCGGGCAGCTCCCTTCTCCCCTCTTCGCCCGCGGGCCCGGAGGGCGAGCGTGGGTCTGGGCGCAGAGGAGCCCTTGTCAGTTCCAAAACACAGAAAAGACGGAGAGAAGGGGACAAGCAGCCCAGGGGGTGTTCGCGAAAGGTCGAGCCCGGAGGGAACGGCCACTTCGGGGTTTTGTGTGTTTTATATTCTCGCGGACGTCGTACCCTCCGCCCCCTTCCCAGTCAGGAAGGGCGGGCGGTGGGGTGGGGAGCAAGTCGGAACATAAATCTTCCAACAGGTCGGGAAGCGCCAAGTCTCCCGGGCTGCCAGAAAACCCGGACCAGCACGTTCATCACCTCCTTGCTCCCACTGCTGCCATCTTGACAGTTTCCCCCTTCCCTCAAGTCCTTTAAAAACACTAGCGGGAGAGAAGGGGGGCGCACACCGAGTCACGGGGAGGGAAAGGGAAGCGCCTGGCCCAGCTCGGAAGCAGATCCGGAGTCACCGGGAAGGCGGCCGCCCGCTGCACAGCTCCGGCGCCTACCTCGGTTCCTTCCCTTCAGGGACGAGGCGGGACGACGCACAATCCCGCGCGGGCCCGGGGCACGGCGAGGAGAGGGCGCGCAACCTCGGCGAAGGAGAAGCGCTCGGGCCGCCGCCGCAGCCCGCCCGAGGAACCGCCTGTCAGCTTGCGCGCCGCCGCCTTCCACATTCCTCCTCCTCCCTTCCACGAGCAGGGTGGCCGCGGCAGCAGCACAAAGTTATAGACACACGCAGGGAGCCTCAACCTAGGCTGACGGCGGGCGGGCGGGCGGGTCCCCGCCCAAGGGGAGGGCTGGGGCGGCGGGCCCGGGTGTGCTTGTGTGTGTGCGTGAGAGTTCGTGTGTGCGCTCGCGCGCCTGCGCGGCCGGGCTCCGCGGGGGCTGCGGGCGTGGGTGTCGGGGCGCGCGCCGCGGGCCGGGACTCGGCGGGCTCCCGCTGCCCTCCCCGCCCGGCTCCTCCTCCCTCCCAGGAGCCTCAACGACAACAAAGCGTGGCGCTGGCCCGCTAGGGGGGCGAGAGGCACGAGCGCTGAGCCCCTAACGCTTAGAGCCCAATCGCCTGGCCTCCCCGACTTGGGGCAGGGCGCCTGGCACCAGGGGTCCCTCGGCCTGCACGTCTGCCCGCCGGGCCCTCGGCCAGCCCTGGTGTCCAGTTCCCCATTAGAATTAGACACCAGGTAACACCTGAGATAAGATGTTGACCGTAGATGGCAAAGGTTACCTCGGCGTGGAAACAGTGACCAGCGAAGATGTTGGTGCCTGCAGAACTTCGATAAGCCGATGCCCACAGATTTGATAGGCACCAAAAGGTTGGCACCGAGTCTCTCACCTTGCACTTTCGACCACAATCGCGTTTCACTTTTCCTGGATTTCATAGCAAACGGGGGAGAGGTGTAGCTAACTCGGGAAGAAATGCAAATTATTTTGCATTTCTTACGCCAGGGCAAATTCCGAACAATTGGGAAGGGGAAATAATTTTATTCTAATTTGTAAATGACGATAAAACAGCTGATTGTGCATTTTTTACTTTTTTTTTAAGAAGAGCTATTCCTTTAGTTTTAAAACATCTTCACAAGTCCTTATCCTACGATCCGTGCCCCAAATCGTTCATTTGTGCACTAAGAATGCACTACGTGCGACATGTACATCAAAAGTCTATCCACTTTGGTTCATAAATACCTTCTTGTTAAAAAGATTAAATCCTTCTAAATCACTGGAGATATTTCGGAGTCTAGCAACGGGCTCCGCAGCAACCCCATATACAAAAAGGTCCAGCCGAGCATACGCAGGAGTCAGCCCACCCGGCCGGCTCCGGGCTCCGGGCTTTGCGCAGGGCCCGTCACTCAAGTGACGCGCGGCCCCGCCCCTGCACCAAGCTAGTTCGACGCGTACAAACAGATGATGTCATTGTATCCACACGCGCGTGACCCCGGAGCTCTTCGCCGCGTCGCCATTCGCTGCGATGCTTACTCGTCAAGCCACGCCGAGCGCTGACTGGCCGCGGCCACCAGTCTGCAGGCCCCTGACGCCCCTCTCCGCCCCCCGCCCCCGCCCCCCAGCAAATAATAAACAATCGAGTAAAATTCTAAGGAAGGAAGGAGGGGAGGGAGGAGAGGAAAAAGAGAAGGCGCACCAGAAGCCAGTCCTTTGCGCGCCGACAGTGGGAGGGTTAAAAGGGGGGACGTGAGGGGGCAGGGGAGGACGGAGGGAGCAGACCTGGGGCGGTGGGTCCCGCCGCGACGAGGAGGCGTCGGCGGAGGAAAGTTGAGAGCGCTCGGCTGGGCGCGCCTGGCGCTGCGGAGGGCGCTAGGGCCCGGGAGCGCGGGGCGCGGGGCTCGGGGGCGGGGCGCGGCGGGCCGCGGGGGCGGGGACCGAGGAGCGGCGGGGGCGGGGCGGCGACACGTGCGGGAGGAGGGCGAGCGCGCGCCGCACGGGCTGGCTGGGGGCGCGCGGCCCCGGCAGCCGCGCGCGCTTGTTTACCAGCGCACGTGGGTGTTATTTTTAAATGGAATGTAGTGCTGGCGGCGCGACCGAGTGGCGGGAGCGTGGGGCCTCGCGCGCTGGCGGGGGGACGCGGCGGGACTGGCGCCGCGGCCTCTCCGGGCGCTGCTCGCGACGCAGCAAGGCTGTCCCCACTGTGCGGAGCCAGCAAACCTGGCGGCCGAGGCCGGGGAGCCTGATTGCAAGTTTCGCGCGCTGCCCTAGCCGCTGCGGGAACGACGGTTTCCCGCCGCGGAACGCTGCCTTCTTCGCGCCCGGGCTCGGCTCCCGCATTCACATTCAGGGAACAAAGCCGCCTGCGTGTCTTTGCCTTGGAGGCCGCGGCAGGCCCGGCCCCGCGGCCACGGGTCCTGGAGCACGGAGCAGATCTCACACGCGAACATCCTTCATGGCACACATACTGTGGCCACGAGGTGTACGCTCAGCTCCCGACGTGGGCTGTGCCCTCACTGCCTCGTTCGGATGCCCCCAGTCCACACGTGCCCGTCTCGTGGGCATATCGCTCTGCCCAGGTAGCTTCTGCTACTTAGGGTTGTCTTTGGGAGGGGAAGTCTGGGGGAGGGGCTCTGACTACTTACTGGGGTTGCTACTCTGCGTAAAGACCCTCTCCCCTTGTAGGCCTGCACCGCCGAGAAGCCCGGAGTTTCCATTTGATTTATGGCCTGGCAGTGTCGTTTTTGATGTATGAACACAACTCAGTTTCAACTGCCAATGCTTGGGGCTGGGAAGTAGTGTTTAGAGCATGTAAGTCAGAGTCTTGTGTTCAGCTTTGCACAAAGAACCAGGAGGCTAGATCACCCAGGGCTTTGCATCGTGGTAACATCATAAAATCCAAAGAATTTTCAATTACTGGTTTTAAATACAACTGTAGAAGAAATCCACGCTTTTCCTTTTCTAAATCTAAGCAACCCTTTGTCATTAGAGTGCAGACCTGCAGAAATAGAATGTGTTTACACTGGCTGGGCCCTTGGCCAGTAGATTTTTACTCTAAACATTTTGAGTGTCCATTTACAGAATGCATATCCCAAGAGCATTCCAAAAAAGTGGAAGAGTTAAAAGATTCAGTGGATTAACTGAGAGCCTTTTGAGTTTCACGGTGAGGAATAGGGGACACATGATAAATCCATTTTCCTTAAAAAGCTTGCTTACAGTCCGTACTGAGGATACAAAACATATCCAAATATGTTATGGATACAAAAAATACTTAACTAAAAGTTAAGTATTTCAAGAGTTTAAAAGCAGAAGTCAAATACAAGAGATCATACATACAGTGTTGGGTAAGTTTCAAATGTGTTGAAGATCAAAAACTTCAGATGGCAAGCCTGTACACATGCAGCTTTGTAAATGCGATCTTACCTAAAGAATTTATCCCTGTGCCTATGAGCAGACATTCAAGAACTCAGAGACTGAATCTCAGAGATTGTTCTCTTTTAGCCTGAAATTGCTTTGACCTTTGCCTTCCTCTTGGAAGGCTTACTTTGGTCCTTCTCCATTTCTTCCTACCACCTTTTTTTTCTTTAAACATATTAGTATAGGAAAGCTGAGTGAGTTATGGTTGTTGGTTGAGAAGGAATGTCAGCATTAACTTTGAGGTAGAATTGTTAGTCAAAACTTTCCCTGCCTCTTACTGATCAATTTTATACCCTATATATTTCTGCGAATGATTTTAGGTGGTGGCTGTTCACTCCATTTTGTAAATTCAGTCACTGGAGGAACAAAAATTTAGAATTCCTACTGAATAAGCAAAGTAAATTCACCATTTCAAACACCTAGTTGTGAGGGGGTTGGTGACAGAAACCAGAGTTCTCCCTCTGAAGGGGCCACCACTCAGCACCTCTGTCCTAGTCCTGTTCTCCTTGCACCTGGGCCAGCTGGAGCCTCCCTCTGACCACAGAGCCCAAATTCTAGGAACTGGGCATGCTGCTGCTCTCTGTAAGAGCCCGTTGTCCTGTTGGATTGGCTTCTATGTCCATCTCAGCAATGAACACAGGAAACACAAAGAAGACAGAAAACACAAAGCCTCCTAACAAATAGGTGTGACCCAACTGGAAAGAAAGAAGGATCCTCAATATTCAGATCTATAGCTGCTCCCCAGTCTATGTCTGACACCCTCGTTAGTCCCTTTCTCTGCTTCCTCTCTCAGCAAACTGCTCTCATGGAACACTTTATTGAACACTGTGTACCAAGGAGCTGTAAGCTGCCGCTTGTCCTTTAGGGCATCATTCCAGGCAGGTTTCATCACCACCCTCTCTAAGAGTATCTGCACCTCCCGTCCTCTCTCTCCCTCTTTGCCTCCTTTAGTCATGACAAATCTGGGCAAAGCCTCTCCCAGGTCATTACCAGGACTGTCCTGTGATAAGTTGTGAAGGGCAAGTATGTATAATTTCAGGGGTGAAAAATGGGGCATGCTAAAGGGATATTTACCTGAAATGGTATTGGATAGAAGAGAAATTAGGAAGAATTCTCTCTTTTGGTAATTTGTGATAATGGTGATAGCCAACCTTTATCACTTAATATGTCGCAGACCCTAAACTAAGCACTCTATTTGCAGTGTGTAAGCCTCACAAAGGCCATCGAGGTGAGTACAACAGTGCTAAACAGCAAGGGGGTTACGGTTCAGGTTCTGAGGTGGAGTCTGATCCCCTCATCTATCAGCATGTGGCCTGGGGTTGTTATGTAACCATTGAGCCTTGTTCCTCCTCAATAAAATGAATCTAATACCTTCTAGGATTGTTAGAAGGCTTGGGCTGGTTGAGATCACGAATCTAAAACAGGTGGCAGGCCAGGCTTTGGACAGAGGGTTATCTGGATCCATGGCACGTTCTCTTCCCCTGAACCCCGCACTGCCTCTCCAACAGTGGGCCCAAAGGAAAGGGCCTTTATGTGGTCCTCTTGGCCTGGATAAAAGAGGCTAAGACTAGATAAGCAAACAGAACCCCAAGCACAGTCTAAAGCTGGTGGTTATCTGGCCAAATTTGCCCCGACAGCATTGGTTATAAGCTTTCCCAGGTGTTTCTAAAGGTTTTTTTTTTTGTTTTTTTTTTTTGTTTTTTTTTTTTTGTTTGTTTGTTTTTTGAGACAGAGTCTCACTTTGTTGCCCAGGCTAGAGTGAGTGCCATGGCGGCAGCCTAGCTCACAGCAACCTCAGACTCCTGGGCTCAAGCGATCCTACCGCCTCAGCCTCCCGAGTAGCTGGGACTACAGGCATGCGCCACCATGCCCGGCTAATTTTTTCTGTATGTATTAGTTGGCCAATTAAT